ATTTGGAGGTTCATTTCTATGCTTTAGATACGTGAGTTACTTTCGTGCCATGATCATTAACTGAGATTCTGTTTGAGGTATAAACGTTTGCTTATTGATTCCGTTGTTCTGTCAAAATGTCTGTGCTGGATGTTCAGGTGCTACTACCGGCGCGTCAAGTGGCAGTATTGCAGTTTCCTGTTGTTTTTTGCAATACTGCCCAAGTTTAAAACAGAATGTACACGTGATAAGCATAGAGAGGAGGCAAAACTTTGTTTTCAGACTTCGCTTCGTTTAGGGAGTTACTATTTAATATGCGAGATTGTCGCAGCACTACGAGCTGACCCTGAAACCCTTCATAAGTGGATCCGAGAAAATACCGCTACATGGCTGTTCTCCATGCCATGCTTCTTAATTTACTGCCCATAGAGTTTCTACCACAGTCTTTTCTTTGTTTTGGGTCTGACAGCTAAACTTTCGTAACTGCAGAAATGCAAGACCTTTCATTTTTCACTTGCGTTCCTTCAAGTTCAATTCTTTTCCCTCAAAAATCCTTCTTTGTCATGTACTTTGGGTCAGTTTTCTGCACTTCTGCTCCAAAATAAGAATTCCACGTTTTTAAATGGATGTGACAGGATGCATAAAGGTGCGTCGTATGATTTTCAAGCCAGTGATTCACCAAAGGCCGAACGCTCCTCATGTCCGAAGCGATACGTGATAGTGATACATTATTAACAGAAGAACAGATCCTCATTACGCTGCTAGCCTTCTTTCAGTATTTGAAACTCTGTCAGTACAGTAATCTGTTCAAAGTCAACTCCTAAGAAACTTTTTTCCTGAATTGGTCTAAAAGAGCTGCTGCAATAGTTGACTCGGACTTCACGTAAATCAAGCAGGCTTCCTGCCCCATCCGATAGGAGCAGTGAGTAATGTCGACGATTCCATTTGTCTTGGTCTACCAGTTTGCTCGATTTCAGTGCTGCATCGTCCGACGATGCGAAAAGTCGTGAAATACTGTGAGTAATTGAAACGAGAACATCATTTCGATTTTAGAAGAAATATATGCAGCAACCATGTCTGCTGTCAAGATCAAAAGAGAGCTGCCTCAGTGGTTCAGTATTAACGGTAAAGTTAATAATGGAGATGTGCACCCTGTAAGCTCATTTTGTGGCGCCTAATTCACTTTTTTGGCCACAATGGTTTTCATCTTCGATTATTGTCAACACTGTCATGTGTTTATTCTTGAAAGATTTTCGGTAATATCTGTGACGGTCGAAGGGAGGGTGCGGAGAGAGGGGGTCAGTTCACACTTACCGTCACATGGGTCAGGACTAAGTCATTTCTTCGTAGTCTCTGGACGAAAACTTATAGTACTACCAGAACAACAGGAATATCAGTGAAGAATGGCACATGACATCGGGAAGGTACGGAATTGTCATCAGATGAATGATACGTTGAGTAAAAGCCTGAACAGAAGTCACAGGTCACGCATATCGCATAAAAAAGCAGATGAGCGTGCTTTTCGCAGTGCATTCTAACCTCTGAGCGAAGGACGAAAGTATCTTTGGCAAGAATAATACATGAACCGAATGGTAATATTGGGGAATGCAAAGAATGTAACATCTTTCAGCTTCTTTATGCCATTTGAATGATCAAAACGTACAAACCCCTCCTACTGCAATAATAAAACTTGCACATTCACGTAGTCATTACTCTGATTGACTAAGTGAGTGATGTTTGTCTCGATTGATCAAGTCACTACAGCCGTACTATAGCGGAAAATGTTGCAAGAAATTGTACGTTGTTCAGTATTAAAAGATGTCATTTATTGTTGTTGTTGTGACAACAATATCTTGAAATAAACACAATGTAAAGTAAACGGCTGCCAGAGGATACATCAAATATTCAATACATATGCTACAGAATGAGAGTCACAGGCCCTATAGAGAGTATTTTGTGGTGCTGTATTTTCTTGAAAGTGCCTATTTTTGCGGCGTTTCGCATTTTGTCTCATGATAGACATTATTTCGTACCGTGGTACTTGAAGCGCAGCAGGCTACATCAACAGTCTGAGGATTACATATGTGGTCCTACATCCAAGGGAACGATGGCATATGTCCTTTCATATGGTTTTTCAGTGCAGACGAAACAGAGGATGTAAATTTTCCCTCTGATTTGTCAATTTTCCCTCAATTATCTATCAAACACTTCCAGATCTTTCGATCGTGTTGCGCGCGTATCATTGTCTATTCTTCAGAGGATAGATGGTATGGTGAAAGAATCAGATTTTGCTTCTCTTTCGGAATTAATATGTACAGTGGCCGCTGGGCTTTCCATCAGGGATTGTGGTCTCAGTGTCCTTCTTTGAAACACATTTCTTTTAAAGAATTAAGAATGTCTGTCAGTACGTGATTGTCCTTGCATTATTAGCTCACCATTTGAGGGTTTATGACAAGTATTTGAAAATACGGAAAATACTTGTCAAAGGATATCGCCCCGTCTGTAATGCTTTATTTCGAGTGTCTCCGCAATTCGCGACAGGGATACCTTCACTAGATCTGTAGACAGTTCTCCAGC